GGTGCTTACTCCCACCTGGCAGCAGGCAAATACGTAGTTTAATTTCATTTAGGATGGCTGGAAATAGAACAGGGAGGGGTAGCTCCTCTCAGCAGGTGCTTGCAGCAGGGATTTAGCTCTGCTTGCAGTCTCAGGAGAAGCTATGCTAATGGTGACAGGATTCAGGGATGATTGGGGAGTCTTATCAGGCCTTGCACTTCATATGAGCTTTTGGCAGCTATAACCTGCCTCTACAGCTACTTATTTATTCATTGTGCATTTTAACACTAGCTTGCCAACCTGGCTAACACTTGCTTCCACATGTGTCTATTTCTTTTAAGCTTTGAATAAGCTCAAGATTTTCTCCTTTTTTTCATACTGTTATATATGTAGAGTAGAGAAATCTCTTAAATGCAAACAGTGTGAAAACATTAAGAAGGTTAAACTATTCTTTATAAACTAAAAAGGTAGGAGGCATGTTTCCATATTTGGAATTTTCCAAATTGCATGGTGTACATGTAAACAATTGGTTATCTCGTTTTAATCTTAATCTGTGGTACACTTGTGTTCTTTGGCAATTTGTTGTTTTTCTGCCTGTATTGACAAGATGTTTGACCAAGGGGAAAAACCTGGTCTATTTCCATCAAGCAAGTTTTTTCTAATTCCACTCCTCGAAGTCCAGTGTCCCGCAACTTTGAGATGTTTCCCTGCTTCCGCACACCTGATCAATGATCAGCCATTTGAATTATCCTGCTAATGACCTGATAATTTGACTAAAATATGTTGAAACAAAGACACATCTAAAGGTACATGACCCTAGACATTGATGAGGGGAATTATAGACCACTGATGTAAAGTATTAATGAAATTTTGTGCTTGCAAAAGCTAGCAACGTCTATCTGTCTTGAGAGATTATATTATGACCTCTAAATGATTAGATTGACGAAAGCCACAATTAGAGCACGTATCCAAAAATGGAGAGGTGAGCCTTCCAAGGACTCACCAGATCCACTGTAGACCTCTCTTACCTTAGCTAAGGCCAGAGGTTATAAAGCAATTATCAAAAAGAGAGAGCAAAAAGGTTTCTGTGAAGGAGTGAAATGGCCAAAATCATGTCTGATGAAAAATAACATGTTATATTTGCAAAAAAAAAAGAATAGAAGAGGAAGAAGAATGGAAAGAATAGATTAATAAAAAAAAAAACATCTTTAAAAAGTATTCAGAGGCCCAGAGAAGCAAAAGTGTATTAGGTGAAATGGGTGACAAAAATGCACAAGCAGCACAAATTTTTAAGTGAGCAAATATTTTTTCACAGCACTATACCTTTGGCCCCTGCTTCCAATTTATTGCTGTAAAAGTAATAAAGTATTTTACTATCATGAGCTCTGTTGAAACATTCATATCCCATTACCTAGTTAGGGGAATATTTCACCACTGTAAATCACAATGAACATTTTGTAACTCGGTTCATGGTTCTGATTATATTTTAGCGCAGACCTTCCAGCTTGCAGTAGCTTTGGTTGTCTCGGACAGTTTTATTAGCAGTCTGTTCAAAAATATGCGTGTTTTAGCTTATGGACCATCCCAGTGCAGACAGAACGGCTGCAGCTATGTTACATAGTTTGATAAATTTACTACCGTGTCACAGGAGAACGGCTGGGGGCCAAGGACTGGGTCATTTCCTTGACCACACTCCACCTTTTGGAATGTATCAACTTATCTTTCAGGAAAAAAACTGATTTGGATTATACTATCAGTTATCCATACAGGTTTAGTCCAACTGATGACTTTGGTCACAGAAATTGAAGATTTATATGGGCTGTTTAAACTACAATGAACCATTTATCGTTGCTCACTATCATGACCACCCTGCTTGCAGCCTGTTCAGGATTAGCGCATTCCCAAGGCTGACACACATGTGGAGGACATCATCCGATTGAGACAAAACAAGAACATACTTGACCTGTCATTTGTCGGCCAACAAAAAAAAATGCCCTCAGATGCTCCTACTCGGCCAGATTTCCTTATAAATGAGGAGTGGCATTTGCAATTTGGGACACATGTTATTTCTAAAACAACCGCACCAATTATTCTGGACAGGCTACGACAGATTATGAGACGTGTGAAAGGTTAGTCAGTTCCAAACACCTATTTTAACATTTAAAGGCTGCAAGGTTACAATTACTCTGAGGATGTGAGAGAGACTAATGACATCAGTCACTTTAAGAACCATGTCACCTTAGGTTGGTAAAAATAAAACTAACTTTCTTTTCTGAGGATTAAGTCAATACAATTTAACATACTGCTCAAATGAAGATCATTTTTATTAAAGTTCTCCGTGAGATCTCTGTGTTTTTCTTTTTTATACTCAAGTATCAGGACTTCTCTGCAGAAATGCTAATCATTTAAAAATAACATGCTTGGGTTAAGAACAAGAAATTACAATTTGGGTAGAAAGAGGGCCTTTAAAAACCCTGTACTACCCTGCACAATGTTCTTTGCACCTTGTCCATGTCTGACAAAGCGGGAGGACGAGAGGTGTTTTGGCTGAGCAGGGTTTCAAACCGAATGCAGCCTTTTTCCCCCGCAAGCTGTGCAACCTTAGAAAAATAATGGCTTGCTTTTTGCTCTTACAACAGAATGACCCAAATATTGACCAATATTGTGTTGATAGTTGAGGATTAAAGCTAAAGTTCATATGCCTTTCACATGGATGTTAGCACTTTAGTTTGCTAGAAGACTGCTTCATCCTGTAATATTGAATAAAAGCAAAGAATGAAATATTAACAAACACAAGACTGATGTTTAAAATACCTGCTGAAAGATTCAAGAGGCAGCATAAGAAATGGCAAAATTTAAATTCATCTGTCATAGTATCTAATTACCCGGTGTACTCCTCTATATTTTGAGAGACAAAAATTTGAAACTGTTGCATTTATTTTTTCTCCTTTTATTTTATTTTAGGACCCTAACTAAAATAACATCTCTGTTGGATAATGTCTACCACCCCATGCATGAAGCTGTTGCAGAACCGTAAAACTCCTGGCGCTCTAAAGGCACTAATAAGTGTTATCACAGATCCTTCCTCCCTGCAGCTTTAAGGCTTTATAACCATCACTGTTCCCAACAACCTCAATAAGTTTTTACATTCACGCTGATTTTTGCACAGTTTCTGTCTTAAGTCTCTTATATAACATACTGCAGTCCTTTTGCACATCTCTGATGTTGCTGTTATTTTTTTACATATCCATTACTTACTAAAAATGTTCAGAGCTGTATATTGATTATTTACTCTCCAGATACAGAACATTTATATTGTAAAAAAAAAAAAACACTGTACAGTACAGTACTTATTTGTTTATTTCCTTAACTCTGTCACTTATTCCCTGATCTTTATACACTTTCTAAGGTCCACATTTTGTGACCACTTCTGCTTTAACCTTTGCTGCTGTAACACTACCATTTCCACATTGTGGGACAATAAAGGGATTTTCTATTCTACTCTATTCTATTTTGATATGAAATACAAATTCAATGCAAACAACAATCAAGAAGTAACTTTAATATGAAAGTGTCTATCTGTGTATACTCTAATCCAGGAGTAAAAAAAAAATTTTTTTTGAAGATTTTAAAGGTTTCGATTTATTTTATTTAGCTGTCTTATTGTGGATTTAGAGATATATTAGGCCTCAATGGATTTTAAAAAAAATCAAACAATTTTACAGAACTTTCATTTATAGACTCATGGGAGCAGTTACAACATAAACAGTCAGAAAAGGAAAAAAAAAAGCTAATTTCAAAAGGTAAAGCATTGTGAAAAGAAGCAACTCAGCAGAGCTGAATGTAATGTAATGAGATCCTTTATTCTGCCTGCCAAATGAAAGGCCATCGCGCTCACTGTGAGAAAAACAGAGCTTTCATACTGATACAGGCTTTTTTGTCTGCAGAAAATCTTCATCCGATAGCTAGGTGAAAGTACTTTTTTCTTCTGAATTTTTAGATATTTGTGGAGTTGCAGCAGAGAACATCCAAACATATGCACGTTCAATAGGCAATGTGGTGGGGTTTTTCAGCAAAATATGTTTCTGAGGGTTGCATTACTAAAACAGTGACACGTTACTTAGATTAAGATATATTATTTTTCATTTTCCCTCCAACTCAATAATGAAGAGAACTGAAACCATCAGAAATTCTACAGATAAAGTTTTAGAAAAGTTTAAGGTTTAATATTTACAAATATAAACCTTTAGAGATCCCTAACTAAACTGACAAACCAGGTAAGGAGCGTATAAATCAGAGAAGAACCCAAAAGACCAATAGTTACTCTGGAGAGACACAGGTTGGAAAATCTTATTCTGTTAGCTTTGCACTCCACAAATTTGCTCTGTTATGGCAATATGGAAGAACATTATTTAAAGAAAGCTGTATGTTTGTTTGCAATTCTTTGAAAGCCATAAGGGGAGCAACGCAAACTTGTAGAAGAAGGGCCACCAAAAGGCTCCATTCATATGGCTATGTGGCAGAAAGCCAAATCTGAACAAATATATACACACATATATACTTTTGTAAAGCAGCAGTCATGCTGTGATGCTGCATGGAAATGCAGCATCACACAAGATGAATATAGTTTATGAAAACATAGATGGAGCTAAATAGGGGAAATAAAACGCAAAAAAATTGAGATTGGCAAGATGTCTCAGCCGGAAAATTACTCTAAAATGATCTAGGGAAAAAAAGCCTGTGCTACAAATGGAGAGTTAAGACCAAAGTACACACTTTTCCAACTTTTTACTCTAAAAATGTCCTAAACTTTTTTAAATGTATCTATTTTTTTGGACCTTTGTGTTTTACTACAACACAAAATACTCATGAGCCATTATTTTATGAGGTTGTAACTTGGTGGAAACGTAACAAAGCTTAAGGGATATTAAACCTTTTGAAATGCCTGTTAGAGGTACTACAATAGGCTTACTAGAATGGCTCTGTATACATAGCACTGTATGCGTTAGCATTGTTTGTACCTGGCACCAATGTAGAGCGTCCGGTTGACTTGGATGATCCTCTGGATGTGCAGTGGCTCCTGCCTCTGCCATGTTCGGTGTGGTCGACCCAGAAACACAGGGTATCTTCTCACCACTATTGGACAATGACAGGAAACATATACAACAGCTGATATTAAAGTGCCATTCCTAAAAATGGAACATTAGGATTTAGCATTTACTGTTGTTTCTTTCTCGTTTAGCTGTACAGTAATTGATGTTCCAATAGAGGGATCAAATGATTAAAAAACAGACTTGCAAACATTAACATCTTCAGTATTTCATAAGACTTTGTTTTGGTTATGTTGAGGACAAAGTAAGCTTACATGAAAAGCAAGGAATAAAAGATGAAACATGTCCAAGAATATGTAGAGAAAAAAGAGTGAAGAGAAAAAGAAGAGTTGAGCTATAACAAAATAGGTTGGATTTCAGATGAGAATCTATAGAGCTATCTGCTTTGACCTTCGCTCTAGGTGCAGAGAAAGTTTTCATCTGATATCCTTTCATCAGCCCTCTGCTCTACCATCATTACTTTTTTATATCCTTCTCTAAACTCAGTTCATCTCCCTTGATCTTTGCAACCTTTGTACTTTGTCTGATTTCATTATTTTTTTAGGCTGTTTACCCAAATCTTTTATGACAAAGGTGGATATAACCAGCAGCATGAACGGTTACAGATTATCCATTCCTATACAAAAAGAGTTTCTCTCTATTTATTTACATGTAAATTGTATACATTTTATTGAATTTAAACTCTAAACGTACAGTTCAGTTCAAATATAATGAGTCCACAAATCATTCAAGCTTCTACTGTAGATGTGAAGAAGACTGAAGGAGTTTTAAGCATCAAAGGAGTATTCATTGTTGCCATTGTTTTGGTCTGATTACTTCATAAACTACTGGGATCTTCTCAAACAAACATCTTTCCGTTTAACTAAATATCCAAACTTGAAAAGAGTCTGGTTCAAGATGACAGACCAGGAATCTTAGGGTCAATCAACCATTGGTTACTGTATTCTTCATACATCTTAAAGCACCTAAAAACCCGAAAAAAAAATCAAAAAAACTCATAAATTTTAAGAAATGCAAGATAAGATAGGTTTGACAGATGTTTCTAGTGTTTCTCCAAAATAAGACTACATTCTTCCTTCTTGCAATACGTTCAAACTGGGCTTTACAATATCCTGTGGTCAGCAATTGTAAGGTAGCCCTTGGTCATCCGGTTTCTTTGTAAAAATAACTTAATATTTTAGGGATGATTACCTAAAATGCATCCGTTACATGTAATATATTATATTTCCTATAATAGATCTTTACAAGATATCTGAGCAGCAAAATAGTTCTAAACAGTAAACAATAATAACATGAGGATAGAAAGAAGAAGATAACATCACTGCAACTGTCATATTCGATATGTATCATTTATGTAGAATTGTTTCTTTTTTGTAGCCTTTCTTCTACAAATAAATTTCCATTTGATCATGTATTTTTCAAATCTTTTCCTATTATTCTGTACACTGGTCTATTGTCTCTCTGTAACTGTTTTATTCATACCCCTCTTTAGACATAAGCAATAAAAGATAAATGCAATGTATATAAGTCATTAATTATACGTCTAAGTGCTACATTTGTAATTTCACTGCATTGTCTAAAACAAAGTTATTCATTCATTCTTGGGCTGTTGGTGAAAGCTGCCATCTCTAATTAAGCTGATCCAGTGTGGAGTTCAGCAGCCTGACAATGTCTGCTCTGTATTGATGCTTGGGAAGGGTCCGGACTTGGTTAGGAAACCATCAGTCAGTGTTATTGAACTGTAATCAATCAAAGTCTGGTCAGAGCTGGAGACTGCTAAGCTGATCTGGAGACACAGAGTCTGAAAGCTGGAGGAACTGCGTCTCTGGAGGGTCTAAGCATGGCCGCGAGGGGAACTCATGAATGTTAGAGCTCCATCTTACAGGCATGTCCTCAGTCCTGGAGGTGGCCCCAAGCTGCCTGACCTGGATACCAGTCAACACGCTTCGTGTGAGAGCCAGTGTGACCTTTGCGACCTTTACCGTGACCTTACTTCATGCCCCTACCCTCTCAATTCATCACAATGCGTGTTTGGCTGCAGCCCAGAACTTAACACTGTGTCTTATGAGAAAGTGCACACAAGGGAATAAGAGTCTACAAGGCAGAAAAGGCAGGAGGTCATTACCTTCAGCGGGGATGAAGTTCACAGGTCCAGGTTCCTCTGGGAATGCAAGGCTGGCTGTTCGGAGGAACCAACACATCAGGAACAAGCAGCGAGAGGCCCCTGCTGCCATCGTAACACAACTGTTGATTCTGTAAACACATAAAAAAGTATATTAAATAAGTGAGTTCATGACAAAGCAAAATTAAACTATCTTACAATCGGGCTGGGTTCCTGTACTGACGCTGCTTCCTTTTATTCCTTGTATTCTCTATATCCATGCTCAGATGTGCAGGGAGATAAGTGGCCTCCTCAACTCAGGGATTAAGACATCCTCTGTGTTAGAACTGTCAAGTCAGCTCTGAATGCAGCCAGATCACTCTGGCATCAATCATCACACCACTATGACACATCTAGAACCTTTGAGGCAGACACATGAGAGCAGAGGAGTGGCTAAAGATCTCGGGTAAAACCGGGGGAAAAAGATATATGGCATTTACACGGATGAAACCAAATATCCAAAGGAGCCAAGTGAGTGAAGAGCTCCAGACGTCAGGCATTATCTAGGATATGAAAGCGACTGACTGAGAGAGAGTGGGGGGAGTGGTGGTTTACTTAAATTAAAGGCCTTCCAGCTACACAAATCATCCCTCCGCCACAGCCGAACTTAAACTGATGGTGTTTTTTATCAAGCAGCACTAAGACACATGCAGGTTCTGGGATGTAATTCATGTGGAAATATAAATGATACCCAAATGAAATTGCCATCCACTATCAATCTAGAAAATGACTCTTGAGCTCTGTCTCTTTGGGGAAAAGCTTCTGGGGCTGCTACTGACTTCGGCCACAAACCTCTAAGGATATAAAGTGGCTAATCACAGCCTCCATGTTCTGATTCTGCTTCAACAGTAGCTCTGTGCTTCCAAAAGGGCATTTTGTCAGGCTGTGACTGACTCATGTTTAAGAATGTGTCAGCTTTCTCTTTAGCTGTTGGCATTAATTTGTGTTTTTACCAAAACTGCGTACACAATACTCTGAAGATTCCTAAAAAGGCAGTCATCCTGTTGAGAAACTTGTTGACAACTCTTTATTCTACCACTAGAAACACAAAACATTTCTTACAGTCACGCACAATTGCAACATTTGAATAGTCAAAGTTGAATTTCTTTATGCAAAATATAAAGGCATTTTACTGTGGTCACAGATGTGCACTGTGCGAAACTATGCAAATACAAGTCAGTGGATACTTTAAGGATATGCTGTCCCAAAGGGGTGTGATCAGTTTATGCATTTATATAAGCCATCCGGATTGTACATATTTTTATTTTTTATTTCTTAATTTTATTTTGTTTTTCATTGTGTGCGATACATGTACACTTGCACCTTAATCCTTATTTATCTTGATATACTGTATATACCTGGATATACTGTATATATATTGTTTACTGTTTATTCTTAATGCACCTTTTTCCTCCTTGTTTGCACCTTCTTTGACTTCTATGCCAATATGTGACAAGTGAATTTCTTCGCTGTGAGATCAATAAAGCTCATCTAATCTAATCTAAAGGTTTAGGAATTGTAAATGAAAGTTTGGCCACTTACTATAAATGTTGTTTTTAATAGAACCTACCATCACAGGCCTAATTATATTATAATGCTCCATTTGTCCAACTTCTGAGTAAGGTATGGTCAGTCCAAAAAACATTGAATATCAAACCTGCTAAGTGGTTTTAATAAGTAGATTATTTAATTCTAAGTTTAAATAATGTTAGCAAAGTTTTCATGCAGCACAGGATACAATTTAACAGCAAGATTTATTTTCTTGTCCATGGGAATGAGAGAGATGTTTGGCTTTTACTGTATATAAATGAACAAAATTAGTTTGGTTTGGTCTACTTAATTTGTGAAACATGAGCAGAACAAGAAATATCGAGAAAAAAATGCATTAGTGGTTATCAGATCTGTAGGTCAAGATCAATGGACCCCAGCAGCTGTAAAATAGAAAGTCTTTAATGATGAAGGCATCTGCAAGGTCACTGAGCAATTCTGGCATAATCTTTCACATAATAAATATACAAGCAGTAGCCCTTTTATTTATTCTGCCCTGCTGCACAATTTCAGCCAGAGTCTCAGAATGACATTCATAAAAGAAAAAGAATTAAATCTTGCCTGGCTGTAGGATATCCATTTGTGACAGAGGCAAAGGGATTTAGACCAAACGACATCCTATACTGGCAGCTTTAAACAGGTTTTAGATGGCAACAAACAATTATTCAGACTTCTAAAGCTGAGCTGACTGGTAAGTGATGCTTTTTTTAACTCATTTTTTTGTGTGCTTGTTTCTCTACCCAGCTATAGCTGTGTATTACACAGCAACATAAAATGCAGGAACCCTTATTAGTCACTGTTTATGGATGGAAAAGAAAAGATGGGATATAGAGCCATACATGAGTGGAAGACTTGAATAATTAAAAAACATGAGATTCAAACTTCAGACCAGCTGAGCTGTCATTAGTTTTGCTCGTTGTTTACAGACCGCTTTATTCATTGTTTGGTTTGCATTAGATAATGCAATTTTCTGGTGACTAAGTTAATGACCGTAGGGTTTGGAGCACAGTGGTACTAAAGGTGTGTTAATCTGTGATGCCTGATAAAACAAACCAACTACTGAGGTCAACATTTGCAACTTAAATAAGGCAATAAAGATGAATGCATATATTGTTGAATTACATTTTGAGCATAAGCACCTAGACTTATTTTATAATCTGACCAATCAAATAAGCTTTTTCTAAAGTTACCCGTATATTAAAGTAAGTTAGTTATTTTTTTATGGATAGCACCTGTCACTAAACAACATGCTACAAAATAATGAAACAAAATTAATTCTAACACATTTTAAACACAGGAATTTTATAAAAAGCCAATTCCAGGCATTTTGATATATCTTTCAGGAGAGATCAGATTGCTTTAAACAGTACATCACCATCTTATTCTTGTTCTGTTTCTATACTTAGGGTCTGATCTTCAGACAGTTTGTATGTACAAAGCAGATCCTTTAAGAATGTGTGCATTCATCAGTGAACGGATAATGTTCTAATGAACAACTTGTACAAATTCAAGGATGGGGGAGATGGAGATGTAAACGTTTATCACATACAAACTGATTTTCCAAATTTGAAACTAAACTGCAGCCTCAATTTTTGTGTCTTTTTAAGGATCTGAAAGGCAGGTGAAAAGTTAGATACAATATTTCTGAGGTCATTGTTGCTACAAAGGAGGTATTTGTATAATACCGGATAATGGAGAGAAATTCTGTTTGCAGGTGAACTTATTTAAACCGCCAGAGACAATGGCAGAATAGTATTAATAAAGACAAACTTTGACACAGGCTTGCAAGAATTCTGAAGGATGGCAAACAATCGTTTAACAATAAAACAAAAACAAAAAGAAAAAATCAGCAGACAAAGACAACTTTCTGATGCTTTATGTTATTTTCAGCTTTTTTATATTTACCGGTAACTTAAGCTTTATTTATTTTTATCACTTTAGGTTTTACTTTTGTTCCCAACACTTTAGGGTAATCTACTAATGTAAAGAACATTACCTCCATCTGCATGGCTTTGAATCTCATCTTTCTTTTACAGCCACTCTCAAACTGCAAGTAGCACACCCAATCTGCTCATTTTATGGGACAGAACCAAACCAGTTTACACATCTCAAAACTTACGCAGCTTTCCTTATAGATAACCCACAACTTGACCACTGATTGGACGTGCAAAACAAAAATTTTTGCACATGCAATTTAGCGCCCCATATTTGGAATCTTTAAAGATCAGGCCCTAAATCACTGCCTGACCATTTTAGGATGTTAGAAATGCTCCAAACCATTGTCTTAAAGTAGTCAGCTCATTTATATCTGAATTAAATGGAAAGCAGACTGGGTCCCTGAGCAAGACCCTAAACCCCACACTGCTCCCCGGGCACCAAACAATGGCAGCCCACTGCACCCCAACGGGTTAAAATACAGAGAGTGAATTTCACGATTGTGGGACAATAAAGGGATTTACATTAAATATTACTTAAGTAAGAGTACTGAATCTGTGAAAAAAAAGATAGCTAGATTTTTTACTACCTTAAAGTCGAGCATCTACATAAAGCTTTGCAACACCAGTAAATTCAAAAGTACGCCACATCAGAAGCTCCCAAGGGTTTCGTTTTGATTTCCCTTTTTTGGAATACAAACACTGAGGGCACAGATCACAGTATTACCAATATTTTGAACTTTCTAAAGTCTTGGTATCCAAAATATATCATGCATCTCCGAATACTTAATTTCACATTAATTGCAGTCTGGTAACATGCTTTTGTGGATTAATAATATGTGAAGTTTTATTATCTGTGGGTATGACTAAAACAATCAAATGAAAAGTACCATAAGCACAAATGCATGGTTGATAGGAATAAAAAATAAATACAAAAACATCCCCAACAAAAAAGTTTTGAAAAGAAACTCTGCAATCCTTACTTTTACTGCGACTCAACCCTGGTAATGTTCCTTACTTTATCTAAGTGGACTATAAAAGCTTTTTTTCACTGTTGGAATGAGCTTTCCATCTTAGGTCATTTTTAAGTTTCTCCCTAACATACTCTCAGTCTTCCCTGAAGGAAACAAACAGCCATTGTGCAGCCCATCTCTTTAATGGAGTCACAGACATAACCTTATCAAGACACATAATCTTTATGGGACATTTCTCAAATTCCATGCACTCACACCAGAATAAAAGTGGGAGGCTGGCTAATTACTCAACACCCACAAGCAAAATTACAGGAGGTGAAGGTTAAAGAGTCACACTGAGAAGAAAGAAAGTCCTTAGGTTGAAAGCTATAGATTTGGAGAAAGATAAGTGACACTGAATGAGGCACACAAAGAGAGAAGATGAGAAGTCAGGAAGATTGTATTTCCAATCAGAGAATCTTTTGTTTCTTCTATTAAAAATGTATGAGTAAATGTCAGGCAGTGTGCATTCGATTAGTATAATTAGACACCCTCGGCTACACAGTTTCGTTGCCCAGAAAAATAAGTCCATACACAAGTCATAAACTAAATTTAAAAGCCAGTTGTTTATTGTGCTTGTGTGTATGTGAGTTAAAA